TTCTTTTTTTTTCTTCCAGAATTGTCACTTCTGGGAAAAACAAATGTATTGAGTTCGGACAGCTGAGGGAGAATACAATTGTATGGAGATGCATAGTTACGTTGAACTTTTTTCGCACCCTACGTAGCCAATCGTGCTAATCGGACGTGCAACGTGTTGCAAATGACGACAGAGTAAACTATATTTTGTAGCCAGATGGTTACTTTTAATGGAATGATACATCATTTTCAGCCCTTTGTTAATCTGCTTCTGGATTAAGCCCCCCCCCCCCCCCATATTGGTTGTGGGGATTTATTTGACCATTCTTCATCATGTTGGCTCGTGTGTTTTGGGGAGAGGATGGCGTGCGATAACCAATTCCGATATCCCGAAACTGATGTTAGCCGTGACTGGGAATCAAACGAAACGATTTTTTTAATATATTTTGGCAGGTAAGGATCACTGAGGTATGCAGCTTTCTTTTAAAAGCGACTTAGCAATCACAAATGATAGCTCAGCGAAGTGGCTTATCACGTGGACATTCATAGTAGCCAAATACTCTAAATTCATGTTGATCCTAAATGTGGAGAGAAAAATCGGTGGACCCAAAGAAAAATCCACGCGACCATGGGGAGAACATGCAAACTCCTAATATACTCCAGTATAACCAGGCGAGGTAGTTAACACCTTGCCACCGAGGCGAGATGTTAACATTTCAGTAACTACTACACCACCACTCCACCACCCAATAATGTATAATTGTCATCAGTGTAAACCGTACATATTTAATTACAGAATACGAATAATCGCCAGTTAAACTAAATGCTTCACAATTTCCTGTACTGTTATAATCAGTGTAATAATTACTGACTTTAAGGTTCAGGATAGACTTTTTTCAACAATGGAAAATGTGCTGTTAATATAACTTAAACATGCCTGGACAATGCCTTGCTCTCACCACTGCTGGTGGAAAGAGCTTCAACTAGATGGGCGCTCTGGAGAGCCCCTTTACAGGGTATTTTGTCGACTTTTACATATTGGCCAGATATTTTGAAAGAGGCTGGAGTACTCGGAATAAGAATATGTATTTATCCTGGAGAAATGAGCTATGGAGCTCTTTTTTGCACAGATGTCCAATAGGGGTGGGTCAGAACGTTACTACAACAAACAATACAAACACACGATATGAGTGCAAGGTACCTTATTGGAAAGGTAAACAAATAATTATTGTTTTTTACAAATAACTATATATTTTTTTATCTTACCAGATAAAGCCCACTGAGGTTTTAACTTATTTTTCAGAAGCGACCTGGCCACGAATGACAGCTCAACAAAGTGGCTTATCGCGTGGAAATTGATAGCAGCAAAACAATAAACAATAAAACTATAGGAAAGGTCAGAAAATCACTAAACAGCGCACGCGAACTGACAATCAACTTTTGGCGCACCCGTTCCCACTGCTGGGTTTGACAGAAGTGGAGGGGATTTAAGGAAATTGCCCGCATTGTTTCAACTGCCGCGCCGGAAGGTCGAGTCGAACCGGCGCCGTGTGGATCACAAGCCCAGTGCGCTGACCGTTAACACGACGGCAGCTTCCTCGCTTGCCTTTTTTTTTTTCAACTTAACAGCACGAGGTTGATAGCTGGCATCGCAATTGACCCAAATTAAAATCGCGTTCCGGCGACGTCAGTAGGAGGGAAGTTTGCCAATGTGCGCGGCGCTATGCGAACCGTCCTCGGGACGCCGTGCGTGGAAAGTAACGCTGCGCCGACAGTCGGTGACGCCTCCTTGTTACCGCGATTCGTCTCCGGCGTGGCCCCCGCGCGCACGCGTGTTGCGGAGCCGCCCTAGCGTGAATGCGGAGGCGGAATCCGAGCCCGTCTTGTGAGTGAAGGATAACGTTTCTCACGCGCACACGATCTCTCCGGTTCCCACAAAGACAACGCGTAAAAAAAAAAAACACAATCGGCTGAGTCGTCGACCGGCCGGCGAAATGATCGGGCTGAATGGAGAAAAAAAAGTGGTGATCATAAATACGCCAGGTGGCTTGTTATTTTTTTCTCTCCAAGCGAACGTGGATTGCCAAGAAGATTCGTGATGTACGATTCCATGATGTGCCACATTTGGTTGGAATTTGGTGATACTGCGCTGGCAGAGGTGTGCGTGCACAACGAACACAGAGACGTTAACTACCTCGCCCGGTATACAGGAAGACATGGGTTGGATCCCGACCCTAACAACGCCTGTAAATTTGGAATTTGCATGTTCTCCCCGTGGTCTCGTAGATCTTTTTCGCGTGGATCTTTCTCCGGGTCCTCCAATTTTATCCTCCACATTTAGAAACGTGCCTTTTAGGGTGTTTGGCTGCTCTAAATGTCCACGTGATAAGCCGTCACTTCGTTGAGTTGTCATTTGTAACAACTAGGACGCTTCTGAGAAAGAGCTACGTAGCTCAGTGGGCCTTACCTGGTAAAATAAATAAAAAAATGTTTAGAAGAGTTAAAACATTTTTTTAGAACTCAACACATTCGTCAATAACACTGCACTGAATATGAAACGTATGTAATAGGCGACGTTTTGGACCATGGCCTCTATTATGAAGAAGGGCCATTGCATGAAACGTCACCTGTTTTCAATATATATTGTTTTCCTTAAACATAAAAGTGAAAACTTACCTCTTGCTCAAAATGAGCATATAGGCAGCCGTAATCTCTTGGGTGTTTGTTTTCTTTGAGAGCAGTGCTATTGATGAATGCATTGTGGGGTTTTTGTAATTTGCATTGCTTACAGGTCCAGTACCAGACGTCAGAACTGCAGAGTCTGCCTCTGCTGTGATGGCACCGACATTAAGGAACGGCCTGCCTGACCACATCACTAAATAAACGAACTCGGATCGAATCAAGAATAGACGTACGAGTTACCTTGTTCACTTTCACTGTGAACAATGACTCGTGCATTATTTAAGGACACAGGCAGATACTGAATGGTAATTTTGTTATCTTGTGTTTACTTACGGGGAGCGGTGGCACATTGGTTAGGGCACTGCAACATTGTGTGAGGAGGCCTTCATCAAAGGGCTGTGAATTAAGTACTTACTCATTTTTCTGTCCCGTGACTTCCTGCCAGTGGGCCGTTCGACACTTTACGTGGCCTCAAAGTGCACCTAGCATGGCACAAATGCCGTGGTGACGTCACCGCCATTTGGTGGTGAAAGGCGGTGGTTGTTGTTGTACTTATTTGTATGTTTATTTCTACACTAATTGTTGCTGTGTTTAGAGATATGTGGACATTTGATTCACATGTTGAACCATCTTGCATGCACTTTAAGGTGTGAAGCGCATTGAAAATATGAACTGATGATGATAAGATCATTGGGGAGAGGCTTTTGCAGTGAATCCAAACACATGAGTGTAAATTCAAGTCACATGCTATTGAAATTGCAGATGTATTTCATAATAAACACTCATTCGGAGTTTTTGTGGAGCATTCTGGATTATTAACACAATAAAAGTAACTCAGTATCAACACCAAACCAGAGTTTGCTTACTTAAACAAATTCCGTTGGAAAACGCTTCAGGCCACCAGTCTATCGACCTTCCAACCCAACATCATCGGAAATTTCTTTCACGACCAAACTCTGGACTGGTTTCAGACCTTCATAAAAAAAAAACCATCATCAGCGTTGTCAAGCGTGTAAAACAAATGCTGCACGGTTGACAGATGTCATTGGCAAGAGCGCCCTGCCAACAGTGTATCATGTCTCCTCATCATGACAATCATTAATTGCCTCCAACATCATCATCATCATCATCCTCGTCGTCATCATCGGCGTCCTGGCGTCCACGCCAACCGCGGTCTGTCCCGAGGTCGGCTCCAGTCCCGCGGTGGGAGCAGCTCCACGGCCGCCACCCGTTGACGACGATGGCCGCGGTGCGGCGTGGGGGGGGCTTCCGCTTGCGATCGATCCCCGAGGCGTCCGCCCAGGGCAGCGTCGGGTTCCTAAGATGCGACGCCCACCTGAGCCCGACCCGTGCCGGTCACCGCCGGTGGAAGTGCGGTGACATTGCTCGCTTGGAGCGGGGCTGCGGAGTGGCCGTCGCGGTTTCCCCCCGCGCTGTGGGGGGAGGCGCTGCCGTCATTGACCGCCGTCTCTGGGGTCAGACAGCGGCGGCGGCAATACGGGGAGGATGCACGGCGCTGTAAAGGCGGGTCGGTGTTGCCGTTGAAACTCTGGATTTCCGGCTTTACGTGCGATCAGCGGTCCTCATCAGCCCGGTCTATAGACTGCTGGGCGAGGGCCTCCCTCTTCCGATGCCGTCCCTCCTTTAAGTTCACGGATTCACAGACGTTTGTTTGTTCGCCATTTCAATTCTACATCACGCACCGGCCAGAAAATCTCCTTAAAGCCGGATGGAATGTCAATTTAGAGCACTCCCGTTTAAGCAAATTGCAGCCTTGGTAAATAAACCCAAACAATCATAAAACAATACTCAAGGTACATGAACACAATTATTGAGGCAAACAAATGGGACAATGTTAAAGGTAAAGGTACCAACTCAGAAATGTTTTGTTCGCGCCAGTGCCTGTGGAAATGTCTCCACTGGAGGAAGCCCCGGGGATTATATTTGGCCTAATCTTCCAAACTAGCCAGACATTCTGGAAGAGGCGAGAATACTCACACCTGACCCCACCGCTTGCGTTCTGCCGACTAACTGTGGTGAACCCATTTCAACTCCTGGGTGGACAGAGGTAGAGGGGAGGGATTTAAGAACCCTGCACCCTCGTTTCATGGTGTGCAACTTTCTGACCCGCCCCTGCTAGATATCTGTGAAAAGAGCATCATAGCTCATCGGATTTCTCCAGGACATGTATGCTGAACTTATTTCGCACCGTGCGTAGCCAACCCGCGCTAAATAAAGATTCTGATTCTGTTTCAACTACCACACGGGGCGTCCTGACCGTTACAACCGCAGCGGCGTCCACCAACCCCTGAAACAACGGCGGTGCTCCCTCTCTCGCAGACGTCATATCGGAGCACATGGCGCTGTCGCTGCCCGAGCTGGAGCTGCAACTGCTCCAGGCCGGCACCTTCCCGGACGTGCACTACGACTACGGTGTCGTCCCCTGCCCGTACGCGCACGACTCGCTCGCCACCGGCGAGCAGCGTTCGCCGGGCAGCCCGCGCAGCGTCTACCACCGGACCCACAGCGCCCGGTGGCCAGCGGAGACGCCCGGCAGGATCGGGGGCCCCAGCAGCAGCTGCAGCAGCAGCAGCGGCGGCAGCGTCGCGGCCAGCGGGGGAGGCAGCAGCACCAGCGGGAGCCCGCAGCCGCACCTCACCGAGATGGAGGTCGCTTCGTCGAGCAGGCAGCAAAGCGCAGGTCGAACGCTCAAGGACGCCCAGGACCTGTGCCTGGTGTGTGGGGACCGGGCCTCGGGCTATCACTACAATGCCCTCACCTGCGAAGGCTGCAAAGGTGAGGACCACGGCATCAGGGCCCGGAGTGGGCTACGTCCGTGGGAATTTGTTTCCCTTTTTTTCCTGCTGCTCCGATAATTTTCGAAAGATCTGTTGTTTTGCTGCCTGCACTTCTGACCTCCTGACCTCCTGACTCTCTCTCTCTCTCTGTTTGTCTCTCTGTCTCCTAGCTAAATTTCAAACACTCTGTGTAGTCTGCGCTCATGCTAATATGTCGAACCACAAATTGCAAGTTTTTTTAAATATTTTTTGTCGTTTTTTTCTTTTGAAGTTTGTTGTTCGTTCGTACGTTTTTATTTTGCGTTGCCTCGCCGTCACCGTTAATCATCGCCCTGTCGTGAATGTACGGCATTTACAAATTGATGCTGTACATTTCGATTCGTTGTTGTACGAGGACGACCGTTCATCGCACGGAATTAACTCTCGAACAAACTGACCGAGATGAATATTTTCTCAGGTTGACGGCACTTTTGACGTTTACGTTATCCGGCTGCTGTCTGCATCGCTGCGGTTATCTTCCGTGATATTTTGACCGTACGGATGCAAGAACTCACCTTACTCGGGTCCATCAAGCATGAGATTATTAACCAGGACATGCACACACGAGGGTTCAAAATTATGGCACCAAGGCCCTAAACGTTTAAGATGCCCTCTGCCTGCTACCTTGAGCCGTCTCTTCTGGTGCAATCCGTTCGTCTGTACGGCACTGGGCGGGTTAACCTTCTGTCCTTGGAAAGTCGGCCTGTTCTGGCTAAAATAAGGGTGGTCGATGTACATTATTGAACATGCTGGTGAATCAACTTTTGTCATTCGCCACTCATCAGAACTTGTGAATAATTTATGGGGAGAGTGCCCGGTTTAGAGGTAAGGCCCGAAGGGAGTTCTCTGTGAGGTGGAGTGGCGTTTTTACATAATTTTTGTGACCAATATTCTTTTCTCAATTCCTAACGCTTTTTGTGGCAAGCATTGTTTTTTTTATTAAGCAGTGCACGCATTGGCAATTAATTGATTCCTATTTTTTCAGTAGTGAAACGAGCTAAAGAAGATGACGCAGGCGAATTGATTAAGTGGAGGAGGAGGTGGTACTGATAATGATTTGTTAATGACGACAGATGAAGATTGACGCTGCCATTTTCCAATATACTGCTGTCAGACTGTTTCACTGACAACAAGTTAATGTAACTCGCAGCCTACAGCCGGATGAGGGATGTTGTGTGTTCTTCACGAAGTATCACCATTGCTGTACGTAACAGATATACGCATCATCGCCTGTGCCAGACTTTTGGAGAAGCTCTCTCTGCCATATTCGACCCCGGTGCAAAGACACACACACGGGACTATTCATTTTTGAGCAACGAATATAAAATCCACCGCGAAACAGATGGCGTGTATGTTATGGTTGATACACCCATCGCGGTATTAACCAGGGCTGTCTCTGGGCTCCAACTGGAGCGTGTTGCCGCTGGAGCAGTGTCGCTGCCATGCTCCTTGTTTTGTGAGTGTGATGCCTTCATCGGGGGACAGCTGTGGCGCCACGGCTAGTGCGCTGCGCGACGAACCCGGCGACCCGCGTTCGATTATAATCTGAACCGGTCCTGGGCCTCTTCTAGGTCGACTCAGCCTCAAATGAGTACCTGCTGGCCACTCACCCCCTTGTGTGCCGAGCCGGCCTTCGTAGTTGTTCGCCAACAGCACTTGCTCCAACAGTCTGTTACATGCTAAAGTGGGGATCCTTCTCTTTGTCTTCCAATGCCTGTGATGGTATTCATAATGGAGTGATTGTGGAGGTCGCTCCAGTGCCAGAGGGCAAGGTGAACAAACACACCTCTGGGGCAGGACACCAGAGCATGAGCTACGATACCTGGAAATGCGTCGAGCACAATTTGTCCCTCTAACTCTCCGAGCACGGGTGTTTGTGCGCAGCGTTGGTAAACCCATGCGTAGAGCTGAGCACGTGGCCGAAATCGATACGAGTCAAAGATTAATGAAGATGTTTGTTGCGCGCGCGTATGGAATTGTTTCGTATCAATATTTGAGGGGTGCAGAAGGTCACATCGATTCGGGCTTCTCGTCTGACATCCACGTCAGTTCAGAATTTCATTTCGGGGGTTTGGTAAGCAAATATTTGACGTGTGCACGCGCACGCGAATATAAAAACAAAAATACGCCGTGCGAGATACGTATATACAATTCCGCGTTCTGTTCCCAATGTTTGTTGTATGAAATCACTGCAGCCACCATACCCAAAGTACGTATTTAAATGTTTTGATAGGTGTAGTCTATTTACGAACTAGCATGAACTATTTTACTTGACATTGCGTTTGGCAAGTAAGGAAGCATTAACTCTCCCACTGAAATGTCATCGATTGTCACAATCCAATGTCATAACTGGGTTAATTCATTATTAAAGTCTCCTTATTTCCCCATCTTATTCATATTGTTTCTCATGTTGCCTTCTGGTTTCTTCTGTCCCATTCAATGCATCAGCCTTCACGTAACAAAAGTGTACAATTTGCATACAATTACGACTACTGTGCATTTTCAATAATTTAATGTGACAACGTTTTTTTCACAAAAATAATCCATTCCGCACCGACAATTGGTTTTACCCATCAAGAGCAGGAGAACCAAGTGTAATCTACGCTTCGATACGTGCATTAAATTCGTTTTTAATAAATCTAATTCGATTTTTGTTACCTGGACAACCCCTCAAGATGGAACATCTCATTGGGCACGATGTCCAGGGTTGAAAGTGGAGCATGCCTATATTTGTTCCCTGGCTGGCATTCGGACAATCCCATTTATATTTTACGTCCACCCGCTTAAGGAGGAGTTAAAAAACGTGCAGAGCGGCACAAGCTACGGAACTGCAGGTCGAAGTAGCAGGGGTTACCCCGATGAGCTTGGGTGTCGGTGAGGAGCAAATAGCGCGTCAGAGGGATGAGTGGGGGGCCCTGAGCTCGCTGACTCTGTGCCTGGACGTGTGGGCGGAGTGGTGAGGAGTAGGAGCAGGAAGGCGTAGGAGGAGGAGGAGCAGGAGTATGAGGAGGTGGAGGAGAAGTAGGTGGAGGAGTGGAGGAGTCATAGGAGGTGTAGGAGTAATAGAAGGTGGAGGAGTATGAGGAGGTGGAGGAGTAGTAGAAGGTGGAATAGTAGGAGGTGGAGGAGTGGAGGAGTAGTAGGAGGTGGATGAGTAGGAGGAGTAGTAGGAGGTGGAGGAGTAGGAGGTGGAGGAGTGGAGGAGTAGTAGGAGGTGGATGAGTAGGAGGTGGAGGAGTGGAGGAGTAGTAGGAGGTGGAGGAGTAGGAGGTGGAGGAGTGGAGGAGTAGGTGGGAGAGCAACAGGATTGGGAGGAGGAAGGCACAGTGGGGTCACGATGGTGGGAAATGCGAGGAGCCCTCAGGGCTCTGTGACCTCACCCACTCCAACCCCGCGCTCACCCGCATCACCACTTCATCATTACCGCCTTGCACCCACTGTAGGTGGGCGGGGGGGGGGGTCCAGTGTTTGCTTCGTCATTTCTTCCATGGAATATTCATTATATAGGCTGGCCCAGATGTCTTGTCACCCCCGAGTAATTGACCCCTCACAATGTTCCTCTCTTGCTTATTCATTTCTGTTTTCACATCCATTTGTATACAAAAAATATGAAGTTTTAGAGAATTAAATTTGGGTCACAAGATATCTGGAGCACTCTGTATATTGCGTCGTGATTATAAATTTGTGGCCTTCACTCTTCGCCTATTGTGATGGCATGTTCTCGTCGTTTACATATATCTTAATCCATTGTTGTAGAAGGATTATGGGCAAAAGTTAAATCGACCTTTGTGTTGGGGAAATGCTCATAGAGCGTAATATAACTTTACAAAAATATATATATATAGTACAGCGCTTTGTCAGATCAGCGTTGGATGAAGGCCTCTAATACACCGTATCGGTCATAGAAGTTTTTCTTACCATGCTTTATCCTTTTGGTCAGTCTTGTGGATTGGTGAAAGGGGAGCCCAAGACCAGTTCAGATCTCGAGCCCCATTGATGTTAGCAATGACCAGGAACCAAAATCTCCACATAAAAATTTTAATATAAACAGTCATCAGCCTATGCTATTTCCAGACAAATATTACCCAGCCGCCATTTGCTTAACCAGGCAAGCTTTGGGCTGGCTTTGAACTTCAGGATATCATCATCAGCAGAGTCAAGCACGCTTAAGAAGACACTGCTGGATGATTTAATGTTATTGGTAGGAGGAGGAGCACTTCGTCTGCAAGATGGGGCACCGTGTCAATGCAAACATCGGCGATGGATAAAAAAAAGAGTGTTTTCGTTTTTTGCCCACGCAAATAAATACGAACAATCAGTCAATTTGTCCATCGGCACCGTCTTATATACATGGACAAATATCACGTGATAAATATAACATGTACGATGCTCCGCAGGCATTGCATAACATCCCAACAGGGCATTGAATTCCAAAACCAAATCAAATAACGCGAGCATTGAAACGGCCCAAGTAATTAAAACGCTCAAAATAACGCACATTGGAGGAGCAACTGATAAACTAGCCAGTCAGATTTGGCACAGTACATAAAATACAGAAATTAATATCTGGTACAAAAGATGTGTTACCGAAGCTATCATTAGAAGGTGTGTACAGGATTAACTGCACGTGTGGAAAATGTTATGTTGGGCAAACAGGACGAATGATCAGCACGAGACTAAAATAACATCAGAAAAATATTAAATACTCCCAAATACAACTGTTAGCAGTAGCAGAACACGCGTGCCAACAAGGACACTCAATTGTTTTTGATAATGTTGAAATTCTGTGCAAAACTAGCTACTACTGGTCAAGACTAATTAGATAATCTATCGAAATTTAAAGAAATAAAAAATAATTTTAACCCTTCGGATAGCTACCGCCTTAGTGCTGTGTGGAAGCGAATCATCAAAAAAATGCATTGTTTAAATGCATGCCTACAAAAGGCTTCAATAGGGATT